TTTTTAATATTTGATATAAATTTCAGCTTGAAGCCTGTATAGGCTTCAGCTCTGTATAGGCTTCAGCTTTTTGGAGTCAGCAATGGAGAATATTTTTTTTTCTGAGAAAAAAAATCTTGACAGATTGACGGACGGACAACAAAGTGATCCTAAAAGGACTCCATTTTTTCCTTACGAGGTACGGAACCCTAAAAATTTATATTTTAATATGTCATCGTTTAAAATACATTTATTTTATATTCAATTAATAATAAACAACATTTTATTCTTAACTGGATGTACTCGTATCACCTTTTAAACCTTCCCAGTACTCTCGTACATATCAAAATCAGCCCAGCCGTTCTCGAGTTTTAGCGTGACAAACAAACAGCAATTAATTTTCGTCTATATATAGATAGATTTATATTTTTAAACCAACATACTATTGTCATATTCCTAACAATAGTTTAACAGACGAGATTTCCTCGAATTGTGCATTAAATGAAATCTAACGTGACTATTCGTCTGACCTTGCTATTGTTATGAGATAAAAGTACAAAAAAATATATAATTAAGTCTGTATCCAGATGTAACACGCGGAATTTTGGTTGGGTGATAATAATACGCTTGCTGATTAAATAATGCTGCACGAAAAAGGGATTAAATAATTGTGAAGTTTAATGGAGCAGTGGTAATGTTTGATGAGTTCAGTATTCGATCCCGGAAGTAAAGCAACTTTAACAAAGGCCAATCATAGGATGCGTGACCAAAAATATTATCTCGAGCTCCTGTGTGCTTAAAAAGGCATCTTATGCCGTTGGACCCGTCCGAATCTCCAGTGGTTGGCATCTTCTAATTTACACTAGCCCATGTGGTGGGGTATTGGCTGTTCATCACCTTCATCAACCTATTAATCCGCACTACTGAGGCGCAGGTCACCCTATGGTTGGAGTCAGCAATGGAAAATAGATTATACTTATCACGCGAGTCCAGGGTTGTTAATGACTATAGATACAGCCAGCTTAACGGTTTCCGAAGCGCGGAGAAGCTCGAGATAATTTTGGTCACTCATCCTAGGACTGGTTTTTACAAAAGTTGCTTTGAACGTGCTAACCATTGCGCCATTGTATTCCTTTTAGGATATTATTCGAAAAATATCGTTCATCATCCATTAAGACATGATGAAAGTCATTGCAGACAGCAACATTTTCAGAATGTATAACTATTTGCTTGATACATTTATAGATTTAATAATAGTAGACATATATCGGTGTATTTACATGCTGCGGTATCTGCAACAGCCGGATTTAAAAATGAAACAAGGTTTAGTGTCAGAGTAAATTTTCGCTAAAATTGCAATTTTAGTACAATTTCAAATTCATATCATACGGAGAATAAGCAAACTTCTGCCCTCTACAAGTAAATATTATTTCCGTAGGACCTTGCTAAACCTTGCTAAAACTTGTTTGTGTTAACGCGCATATGTGTATTATACTTTTCCTTTACCAATATGACTCTTTCATCCTTAATTAATCTTATATTATCTCCTATTTTTTTTCTTTTGGGATGAAATTTTTTCGAAAGTAACCTGAAGTTTCTCGAGAGAAGCTTCGATCAAATAAATGAATGTTTTCGCAATAAAAACGCTTTATAAATAAAATTATATTCAATCAACAAACGCTAAGTACGTAGAAGAAAATATTCCATATCTCTATTCAATTCATCTATCTATACTGATGGAAACATAATGAGTAAGAAGTTTACATCCACATTTTAATAGTCTCTGATAATGTTTAAATTACCGATGAGTGGATCTAACGTACCTTGAAAATAAGTACAACCTGTATAGGTAAAACATTATTAATAAATAATCAAATATTATCAACGAAAATTGAACCTAATCCCCTTCACATAAGACCTAGACGTACCACAGCTGTTTATAACCTCTTTGATGGAGTGTTCGCGGTTAAAGAAAACCAGTTAATTAATGATACACTTACAGCAATGTCTAATGTTGAGGTTGAGGACATATCTATACTAAATACTCCTGATCCACTCTGTGCAGGAACCACTTTAGCACCACGTTTCGGCATTTTGAAGCACCCAACAACTTTGTATGTGCGCACCATATTGCTAAATATATCAACACTTAAAAACAACACAAAACACTTCACAGTCCAAACGACAACTGTGTTAAAACACGTCTCTATTCAAATTTGGAATGTTAAAACAGATTTTCATTCAAAAATCGAACACAGGCGTGCGAATTTCGATCGTGTTTTGTTCAACGTGCGCGCGCGCAGTGTAAGCGCGATCGAATGACAGGTTTAGGTCATTACGCCGTGGTACGTGGTTACGGGTGGTTGACGGTGAGTCACCCACCCCGTGCTCTGCAGCCTCTGCAATTGCTAGATTCCGAGATTTTATATCCTTGTGGCTGTATCCGTAAACGTGACGTCACCATTTCCAAGTGACGTATACATTAACATGCCGGGGGTATTTAATTGTACATTTTGTTGCTATTTTTATTTTATAATAACATTGTTTGTATTAGAATTTAATAATATTTTATTAGGTTCAAAGTTTTAATAAGTGACAATTAAATAGCTTCTTTTAAGCATAAAAATTTAATGTTAGGTACTATGGAGAAAATTAGGTACCTACTTTTTATTTTAGTAAAAGAAAAATGTAGGACGTGCTTTATTCAATGCCAAGATTTCAGGTATTTTTTTAATATTATAAATAAATTGGAAATTTATGAAGCAATTTACAATTATCTTCTAATTATTATATTTGATCAATTTCGAATTCATTATGATACTGATCATAATGAATGCGAAATTGAATAATAAATATCTTTAAAAAAATCTGTTTGACATACTTTGTGCTTTATTTAAAGGAGTTTTGCAAGTTCAAGAAACTTTGTTTTAATTCTAATAATCAATCTATATATACAAAAGTGAAAGGTCACTCACTCAATCACTCATCGCGAAATCTCAGAAACTACAAGTGTTAGGATTTTCAAATTTTGCATGTGGGTTCTTTTTAGAACGTAGGTGCTCACAAAGACGGGATTTTATGAAATTCAATCCCTAAAGTTGTATTAGGGGATGAAAGTTTGTATGAAACTTCGTTACTATAAGTGCTAGGTGTTTCAAATTTTGCATGCGTGTTGTTTTTAGAATATAGGTGCTCACTAAGACGGGATTTTACGAAATTAGACCCCTAAGATCACGTGGGCGAAGCCGCTGGCTGAATTTGTTTTGGTTGAATACTTTGTTAAGACAATATCTTTCAGCGATATACAGTTTCGTGAAAAATTACCGAACAAATTTTGAAATTTCTATCATAAAAGAACTAGAACTTTGCAGACTAGAAATTAAAACAAAAAGCCTCAAAATTGAACAATATATCAAAGAATATATTTAAAGTACAACATTTAAAGACAGCTTTTAATTTGATTTTGAAAGCAGTTAAAACAGCAAACATCTAAGTTCTAACAATACTAAACTATAAGCGATTTCTCTATATCGGCACAGTCTTGATAATGAGCAGATTGATTTGCATTTCAAATGCGACATTATGTTGTCAGCGAAAGTTTGAATCTCTCTCAAGGACAACGACAGCAGACGCAATCTAATGTTTGGTAGATATTACGCAATATTTTTATTACGAAAAAGTAAAATTAAATACGTAAAATGACGTATGATCATCGTAACTCAATCAATAGCCATGGCAACTTTAACAGGCATTTTTTAATTTAAATGTTACAGACAGCCCCTTTTTCAGAGGATGCATGGAGACAAAGACCTCGGCTTTCTTTCTTTCGTTTCTGGCGGATCTAGGAAGGCTGGAATAAGCCCCAGCCACACACTTTCTGTACGCAAAATAGATGCAATTTTGCAGCGGCACAATCAACAAGTTTACAATTTTTTTTTTATGTAAGGTAAAGCATAATCAGAAATACAGTGAAAAAAAAACCTTAAATATTTAAATAAATAAAACAATTATGGGACTTTGAAGTTGAGCTCGCTAGAATAATTTCACTTCACGTGGTACCTCAGCGTGTGACGTCACGTTACCGAACGTGACGGCGAAAACCCGGCTCACATCCATTTCTACTAACCTAGAACAAGGCATAGCTTAACTAGGACACGCCTAAAATTAGGAATCGCCTAGTCAGATTATTTTAATTCCAAATAAATATTTTTCCTTTTATCCCTTGACATATCACATATACGTCATATACGCAAATGCCTAGCGCAAGGCGCCGCTAAACAAATATATGTCATAACTTTAGACATTGCTTAATTTCCTAAGGTAGTTCCAGGTCAATGGTGAAATGCATTTTTACCTTAGGCGATTCCTAAATATTTAGGCGACAGATTCGGGCAACTCCTAAGTTCACTAAAACGGACATAAGTAGTATTATAATTTAGTTTTTGATAATTGCTAGCAATTTTACAGTCGCACTTTTTTATTACTTGATGAAGGGTACTAAAAATATTCTATTAGTAATGTTTTGTCTCTATGTATTAAAGTACTACAACGAAAAACACTAATGAAATAATTTAAAATAATAGTTATCTACTTATCTCAATATATTATATAGGTCCTAAGCCGAACCACAAAAGAGGCACCTACTAACTATTATCTATGCTAATATTTTCAGAATAAAGTGGTACATTGTACACTGGTACATACTGTCAAATAGACATGATAAACGTACAATGTAGATGGGTAATGTACAAGAATTTCAAAGTTTATCGACTAATGTAAGCTCACTTTCATTGATCGATAGACGTTTTTTAGTTGGCTTTTTAACACAACAACGGTTAAAAGTGGGCCTTATTAAACGACCGTGCACCGTGCTTGCGCTTTCAAACAAATCTAAAGGGAGATTTATAATAATAAAACATTGAAATAGCCATTGGCATTTGTTTTATATTAGTAATAAAATAAAGAATTATAACCACAAAAAAGTCATATAGGATGATAGTGAAAGCCAAGTGCATTAACAATCAGAATAGTCCGATCTCCTCGATCCTCTTAAAGAACTTGATCTTCATTTGAAGAACGCCGAGGATCCAGTCAGGGTTCAACTTGACGTAGCGTATATCATGGTCCGTGCGCTGACCTTCGATTCGGAAGACCATCTGTCAATACACAGAATGAATGACATGACAGAGTTTACAATTGTTTAATATAAAAAAAAATTGCTGACATCGATATATGCAACATGCAAAAAAGCACTGCGATAGTTTAGCAATCGAATCTTTTTTTTCTTGAACACCACAGTGATTTCGAAGGCATTTTAAAATATTGCTCCCGGTTGTATATGCAGCAGCTAGCAAATAGATCGTAAATAGACGTTAAAATCTAGGATTACGGTGCTAAATTACAAATATAGGTAGTTAAAACCTCACCGAAGGTACTCCTCTGTCCTCCACGTGATATAAATACTTATCTTCCACTCTGAAGAATACTGAAACAGTAGCTTGAGGTATTGGGTACTCCGCTGTCGGCTGACTGAAGATCGCCTGTCAAAAGGTAAAAATAACAATAAAATTACTACCGGTGAAATAAGGTGGACAAAAATTATTTCACCGAAAGAAGTTTTTATAGCTCTAAAAGGCGCTGTGAATACGTTTGATAAAATAAGACACTAATTAACCTACGGATGTATGTATGAAGATTTTTGCTTCAAATATTCCAAATTGATCAACTCAAATTAGTAATCAGATGGTTAGGTACTGTATTATCTTTAAGTATCATTATAATGTGTTGGTATATTAATGCATGTACTCGAAGAAAGAAATGTTTAGCTAAAAAGGAATCTACGATTAGCTATCAGACAGCGAGACAGCCAATGTCAGTGGGGTGAACACGATGGGAGGATTTGACTTAGCTTTTTAGCTACCCCTGGAAAATAATACGTATGTCGGTCAAGGGCACGCAAGCGTGGTCTTTGAATCTGATAAACAAAAGATCTAAAATCTTTACGAGTCCCCAGAGCAGACTGATATTTGTAAATACGCATATTAACCTCAAAGTAAAAATACTGCGAGCATTCATCTTGTGTTCGGTTTAGGTACTTAAGTGTGTACATAAAGGTGTCAGATAGTTTCCAAACGTTATCGATGACATCTCTAATGAAGGCCTCGGTGGTGATGGCAAGAGGCAGATGGAGGGTAGTCAACGTCACCTTCGTCTCAGGGGTGAGAAGTTTTCTGGTGTCTGAGTTAATAAGCAACTTAGAAAGTTTATTTTTAAAGAATATTATATTAAAAATATTCACTTTTGAAAAGGAAAAAGTTGTACATATATTGATTGTTGATTTTAACAAGATTACGAAACGAAATAACATTTTATATTAAACCCTTTATGCCTTCCCTGGTGAAATATTAACGAAATGATCCAAAAAAATATAATAACTTAAGATCTTTATCCTCTTTCATCTAGTTTGAGTCTAGTCTGACTCCTATTGATTATTAAAATAATTTTTGAATAAGAATTTATTTCCATGAAACATGATTATAAATAAAAAATCTACATTAATTAGTTTCTTTAAAGCATTCGAATAACAATGAATATAATAATCAAAGGTAAAGGCAACTGATAATCAACGAGTCTATTATGAAAATTCGGTATTTAAAAGGTTAGAGACAGGATAAGCTACCACAAAAATGTGTATTTTAACTTTACTTGCGAGTCCTCTTAGCGTTTGCCTTTGTCCGAGTATTTCTTTAGCTCTGTTGATCACAGATACCATACTGTCTATAGCTTGTTCTTCATAAGAGATTACTTGTGGAAGATTCATTTTATATTTATTTGATTTATTAAAATCTTACTATGACTTGTATTTTTAATGAAATAGCAAAATGTTGATTAAAGAGTAAAGTATCTAAATGTTGACAAATTGCCTGCCAAATGCAGAAATGACATGGCCAAAGAGAAAATTATATAAAGCTATGTACACACGGCCGCACGTCACGCTACACACCATAGGTTAGTATATAGGGAATTTCTATACGAAGCGCGGTCGGTACAAAGTTCACAATGTACAGTCTGACGTGCAGTCGTGTATACAACAAGGAGAATATAATCTCTTTCATTTTCTATTCTCTTCATATAATTTAAAGGAAGTGTATTAAATTTTGAGTTATTTAACTTTTTTTTTTCGATTTTTATTACATACGATATACGATTTGTTGGTGAGACTGAAATTAGTTTATTTGTACGACAGAGTACGATTAGAAATAAGGTTAATATTATTTGGTTCTACCTTCATAAAGTGTAGGATGGCACAACTTTTATCAACTTTCTGAAAGTGACATTTTTCCAGCTATTGCCGTCTTTCTGAAAGCGTCATTTTTCTTAATAGTGACATTTTCACATTCTCACAGTATTGACTTTCCAAAAAGAACAGTGTCTTAAAGTTTGTACAATATCTATTCCTTGACTTATTTTGAATTTTGTCGAAAGGATAGGCCTCTATCCCCAGAATAAGATGAATGCCCAACACAAAGACATCTTTGAAGTAGAGTATAAACAGATCCAAGGTATTATAAAATCCGTGCTTTTTATTTAAATTAGTATACGAGAAAATGTTAATTGACTGGACAACTGCTGTTAGTTCATCTGTACGCTCTTCTTCTCAAATTATCTGATAAATCTTAAGTCTGGTGGATAATGTATTAGTTATCTTTAGTAAAACCTGTAGCGGTGCGTCGTACCATAAAACCTGTAGCGGTCCGTCGTGCGACGTAAACGTCGTACGTTTATTTTGTTATGAAGAATCCAAATTTTTTTTCTCTGATCTTTAAGACCATTTCTTTTTTATTATTAGCTTTTCGAAGAGTTTTCGTAATTAGAAAATTTTAGAAACACTACTATGCTAGAATGAGCGTATCTCATTCTGTATGTTAGTTCGTCAAAAAATCTTCCCGCAAGAACACGATTATCAATATATATTATAAAATGCAAATAAACAATCAAATGTTTCTCTTTATAAAATAAGTTTATAAGACCTAAATTACAAGTATGGTTAGCCATTATTTAATTGTGCTTAATCAGCATGATTTTTTCTATAATCTTATCATTCACTCAATGTAAACAAAATCTTACTCACGAATTTCTCAGTTACAAAAAATTACATACCCACTGTTGACTATTTGAAATTGTTTAATAACACAAACCTATATAAATATTCTTTACGTTTTATCTTAAAATCAGTTCAAGTAATATACATACATACAATAAGCAAATACCCGTTTTTAAAATTCATAGTAAGTCTACTGTACATGACTCACAGCATACATATGTATTTACTTTCGCTTGGGTGACTCAATACTGCCTTACCGGTAAGCCGCAGTACTACGGAATTGTCTATGTAGAATCATATAAAATCATTTAGATAATAATAAAACTCAGAAAAAAAGAAGCTACCGGATCTCTATATTTAAGAGATCTCAAAAAGAAGATTTTTCATATTGATTGATTTTTAACTGATTTCAAAATCGAAAAGCAGGTTTTATGTTCCACGCGCTGTATGTTTTTTATTTATGCATACTCATGGATTTTTTCAAGAATTGGTGAACCATTTTCCAAATATTTTCTTTTGTTAGACTAAGCCCAAGGTGGACTCATACATATAAATCTTATCTAATTTGAATTTGTAGTTTTGTTTTTATAACAAAACAAAATATACTTTTCACCAAATTACTAAGACGACATGTTTATAACAGCGAAAAAAGACAAGATGGCGTATTTTGCATGCATTCAAAATTTTTATGTTCCACGGGTACTAATGTTTTTTTTAGGTAAACAGCTATGTTCACTGATTTCTTCGTGAATTTTCAACCAATTTCTGTCAAACTAGATGTTTCCCCACGACTTCGTCCGAGTAAAATATAGCCAATGTCGTCCGTATATGATAAGTTAGCTTCGCGTACGTAAAATAATTTATAAAGTCATTCCAGTAGTTTGAGGCCTATTCAATGCAAATTAAAAAAATCTTTCCTCTTTGTAATATTACTAGATAATCTCCCATGATTTGGGCCTCGTAGATTGTAAGTACGAAGGTGAAAACTAAAGTCACGTGCATTTATCCTATATAGAAAAAAATTAAAACAAAAAATAATAACTCACGTTTTTCTCATTGTTCTTAAAACTACTTAGGAGTCGCTCTAGAGAAAAAAAAATTTTTTTTTGCTTAACTAACAACGACATTTACATAAGTAGACACGGTAACAAATAATTCTGTCACGACATGTCAGATTTCTGCCATTGTGTTTGAACCTTACAGTAAATGCATTATAGTTTAAAATCAAGTGCAGAAATATTAGCATCTTGAATATAAGTATAATGAGTATGAGAACATAATATGTAAGTACACATGCACTCAAAGAATGTTGGTTCTATTAAGTTGATTCATCATCTAAGCATTTTATGTGAAGTTTCGTCTTATATCAGTGATTTTTTAGGGTTCCATACTCAAAAAAAAAATGGGACCCTATTAATAAAACTCCGGTGTCCGTCTGTCTATCACCAGGCTGTATCTCATGAACCGTGATAGTTAGAAAGTTGAAATATTCACAAACGATGTATTTTTGTTTCCGCTTATAATAAAAACGGAATAAAATACACATTTAAGGAGGATCCTATACAACAAACTAATTTTTTAAAATGTTTTCTGTTGATAATGATACAGAACCATTCGTGCACAAATTCGATAAGCACTTAAGCGGTTTTTTATACCTTAGGTATTTCGATGTTGAATAGTAAATATTTTCCTAGAATCTTTCGTAATCTATTGTAGGTATTTTATTTATGTATGAAATAGTAGACATTAAAAATAAAGTCATGTTAGTTATTTAAAGCCATTATATATAGATACAATTTTCGATGTTGGGAACCAGTCTTAAAAAAATCTTGGATATATATTTTTTTAAGTGTCCCGCCTGCTTCCTACGTACTACGTCCATTGTTATTATCCTATATTTACGATAAAGGATATCGATTCTTATATTATAAAGAGAAAAGATTTGATTGTTTATTTGTTTGCATTTTAAAAATATTTTCACTTGCGGCCAGATACATCATTACTTATATGCGAGTGATAGAACTCAACTGTGTTTTTAATTTTATTGATAATGAATAGCAAATTGTAGGACGTCTTTTGTTCTTAATAAAAAATTTAAATAATAAGTCTATACCAATATTATAAAGAGAAATAATTTGATTGTTTGTTTGCATCGATTAGATTCCGAAACTACTGAAAACGATTAAAAAAAAAATCACCTACGGATAGTTTCATCATATGAAGTTGACATAGACTATAATTTAAGCGTGCGAAGTCGCAGGACAACAACTAGTAATAAAATGGAGAGGCTTTTAAAACGGGTATAGACCCTCACTTATAATTAGTATTTAGTTACAGATGAAACGAAGGTTTGCATCGAACAAAAACCCGATACGAAACCGTTAAAAGCCTTCGCTAACCGGTATTTTTCGAACCGGTTCCGAGCTTTATCTTCAACCACTCGCGGTGGTTGCGAAATGATAAGGACTGAAGTCGGGCCATTAGATGATCAATCTCGCGTAAATCAAATCGTGATCTTAATAACATTGTTCGTGCATTGTATTGTTCGATGCCCTATTGAAACGTATCAAACATTATCCAGATTATTTGAGTTTTGCCATCATACTTTGATTTAATCACGATCCAGGTTGATTATCTATTGGTCGGCTTATAAATATTGCGGGAAGCCGCTGGATGCAGGCAGCGCAGGACCGATTGGCAAGGAGATCTATGTGGGCTTCGTATGACTGATGGTGATACAGATATATTATTCAATAATAGCTTTGTTTTTGTTTGTTAATTAATAATGGATTACTTGATTGTTAAAAAAAAATGATCACCAATAAAAATACTTGTATTTTGAAAATTGGCACTTTTTAAGCGGATAGTGATAGTTAATAATTAAATTGATCAATTAGTGACACCATTAATACGTTTACAGAAGCTATCACTGTTACCACGACGCGATGACCCACAAATGGACAACGGCACTGCCACATGCATGCCTGTTGACGAAGCGTGTCTGTATATTACGACAGCTCACGTGTGTGATTCATACTCGGTTGAAGTTTAATGGTACTCAAATGAAGGCTGGCGCCACACTAGATGTGTCTATGATATTGATCTTGAGTTGAATACAAGTTGTTAATGATTTTTTTTCATTTGAAATACAAATTTACAACATTGGTAGCTTATATTTTGACCTCATCTTTATTTCTTGAGTTTATCTTTAAGTAATATGCATGTAGATACTGTGTGACAATATTGTAAGATAAATCAATGCTTTTCTTCCCCTTCTTGCTACTTTCTTTCAGCTATGAGATAAGTAGTTACGAGAATGATGCTGAACGTAAACTAATTAATTGATATAGAGTGGTAATGTGGTTATGATGTAAATAGTTAATTTGTTTGCCCCGATCTGATCCTCTTATTTGAATAGAAAATATTACAGTTGATATTGTATATTATAAGTTATTTAATTTTGTTTAGTTAGTTGTCTGTAAACTCAATTACTTAATTTTGCATATGTTCAATTGCAAAAAGAGGTGCCATTTATGCAAATTTAATCTATTAAAAACCCAAAAAAATAAATTGTGTGGATAAGTCATCGTATCGAATTAAATATTTACGTACTAATACACTTAAAATAGTTTATAAAAGTGATTGTATAATATCGTTTCTAGTATGAGTCACATCTGTGATCTGTGCTATAGAAATGAAGCGCTTGCGCAGGCTAC